TATTAATCTTTGAAATATAAAAGAAAAAAAAGCACAAACAACAGCAAAAAAACACTCTTTAAAAAAAGTTTCCTACAAAATCCTTGTGAAATAGTGAGTTTTCTGGTTCTTTTGCTTTTATAGGTAGATAACCTCAGATTTCTTATCTGGTGATCAAATGCAAAAGCTACCTAATAAATGAAAATAAACGCTTAATGGTGTAAAGAGTAAAATAATGTCGTTACTTTAAAAGTAGTCTAAATATTACTTTAAGTTTACTTTATTTTTGTTTTTGTTGTGTAACATTAATTATAAACTTTTATGTAAAGTGTGTGTGAGAAAAATTGTAATTTTCATAAATTCTGTTGAGAAAGACAACAGAGACCAAGGGCTAAGAGAGAAGAAATTGTATTTTTGAATCACAATGTGCCAAAACAATTCACACTGAAAAACAATAGGGTGCCCATGTGGCCAAGAAGGCCAGTGGTATCCTGGCCTCCATCAGCAATAGTGTGGCCAGCAGGACCAGGGCAGGGATTGTCCCCCTGTACTTGGCAGTGGTGAGGTCTCACCTTGAGTGCTGTGTTCAGTTCTGGGCCTCTCACTAGAAGGATATTGAGGTGCTGGAGGGAGTCCAGAAAAAGGCAATGGAGCTGGGGAAGGTTCTGGAGGACAAGTCCTCTGAAGGTGCCCGAGGGAGCTGGGGTTGTTTAGCCTGGAGAAAAGGAGGCTTCGAAGGGATCTTATCACCCTCCAAAAGTACCTAGAGGGAGGTTGTAGACTGGTGAGAATCAGTCTCTTGTCCCAAGCAGGAAGTGAGAGGGTGAGAGGAAAAGGCCTCAAGTTGTGCCAGGGAAGGTTAACTTGGATATTAGGGGAAAAAAAAAATAAATCATGGAAAGCATTGTAAAACATTGGAACAGACTGCCCATGCTGGTAACCATCCCTGGAAGTGCTCAAAGAACCTGTGGATATGGAACTTAAAGACATGGTTTAAAGGTGAATATAGTAGCAGTGCAAGGTTGATAACTGTACTTGGTGATCTTCACAGCCTGTTCTGCCCTTATTGATTCTATGATTCCATGAACTAGATAAGGTGTGCCACATTTTTGAAATTATCATTTTGAATCAGGAGTTTTTTCTTTAATTTCTTCAATTCAATTTCTTTTTCATTAATTTTCTTCAACTTATAAGCCATTTACAAAATATTTGGAAACTCAGAGAAAGGAAAGAATTCATTTAGACTTTGAGACTGGTGAATGAAGGTTGAGTTTAACCTTCAAAAACATTAAAGATTTTTGCACCGTGATAAATGCCTCTTAAAGGATAAACATATCCAGGTATATATCATTAAAAGCATATTTGGCAATATTAAAATTTCATACTTAATTATGTTTTTCTGTAACATCTAGTCATGAGCTGTTCCCTCTGTATAACATGGCCATGGCACTTCAACTGGCAGTCACTACTGAAGGGAGAAAGATTTGTAGGGGAACAGTGGCTTTGGACTAGGGAGCTTGGGATATTACTTTGAAGTGCAAATTGTAATTTTACAACCTGATTAAAAAAATGTTGGTTAGTGTGTTCAAGGCACTGTGATTCCACAACAGGAAATCTTGTGCTTCTCTCCGAAATGCTGAATTACCCAATTCACTGCCTGGAGGTGTTAGCCTGCTAATAACCACACTAATTGGGACCTCAGAATGTGACACATCTAATCCTTGCCCAGTACCAGCTGGGGTGATAAAGTAATTTTCTGTCTGGGAGAGTGGCAATAATTAATGCCAGAAGTACAGTGTGAGACCTGACAATTTGTCACCACAGAATTAGCGGTTTGTGGTGCTTTGCTTCTGCAAAATCACATCTCACTCCAAGAGCACTGAACTCAAGTGTGACTGACTGAACTTTATAACGAGTCAAATATCATGACCATGGTCAGAATCTGTCATTTTGATTATCTGCCCCATTCTGCATATTTTGTCTTTATATATTTAAATACAACATATTTTTCTTTCACCATCAACCCACTGCACTTGAAAATTTTGAATTATCCTCTATTCATTACACTATATCCACTAATATGTGAAAGGAGTATAGTCACAATTGCCACAATAATCCTATGACTTAGTCAAAGGAGAGGTTTGACAATTTTGAAATTTCTGCTACATTTAGTGATTATGTAAATGTTGTAACAAGATGACAAAGGAGAGGAAAAATATTTTAAGTAAATATTGCTAATTTTTAACACCTGTAAATCTAAAAATTCTACCCCTATAATGCCACAAATCATTTTTAAAAAGAAATTGAAAAAAACAATAAATGAATGCTGCTCTTGATGAGAGGAATTGGAGGGAAATATGTGGAGTTCTTTTATTGTGCTTTCCTAGTTGTTAAATTTATATTTACTAAAAAATGTTTGTCCTCACTTATGCTGCTTACTCTGTTTCTTTAAACATGACCTTTATTTGCTGGATTAACTACACCATATTTTATAGTGAAAAGCTGTTCTGCCAGTTCTGGTTAGGTAGTTTTATAGTCTGTTGCTGGAGAAGTTTTGACATTTATATCTCTATACAGAAGAGACATAACTTTAGTTTGAATTTAATAGCTGTAAATCTTGACATGAGTAATAAACTAAACCTGAGTAGGAGGCTAGTTTTATTATTCTTTAAATAGTATAATTATCACTGTTACCTTCTGATTTAATCAACTAGAAGAACTATCCTATAAATATTCATCATAATTCCTGGCTTTCTTTTAGTAAATTAAGGTGATTCACAGAAGGTGAGGAAATAAAAATTATTTGAATATGTTTATTAGATGTTTCTATTCTTCCAGGGATTACCTGCTTGTCTCAAAAAATCACAGAAGCAGTTTACCGTGAAGCAGGGGGTCAAACATACTTATATATACTGAATGAAAATTGTTCATATTGTATTCCAGTTGGAACACACAATGGATGACAAGACAGGAAAAGTAGCTCTAGGCCATATTATGGGAATCTTCACTTTTTTTATAACTGAGTAATAATAAGGTATCTAAGGAATTAATGTGGAATATTTTAAGATTATCAGATACTTCTGATTGTACAGAAATGTTGGTTTCAACCAATGCTTTGAAAGTGGTTACTTCTCGATTTATATTTTTCCCTGAAATAAAATTTATTCAACCTTTAACACATAATTTCAAAACCATTTGCTTTTACTTTGATTTTTTTTCCCAAGGATCAGATTGTCGTTTATAATGTGTTTTTATTTTTAGAAATATTACCGTAAAAAAAGCTGGCTTTTTTTTTTTAATTTTCCAATATAATCTCTTGGATATGCAGAGGATTTTCTGAGAAGGTGTTGATTATTTATCAGAGATTCTCACCTTGTGTTTCAGCAAAACAAATTTAATTGGGTAAGAGAGACTGATAGGTGCAACCTCATACTAAGTGTAGAAGATATTTCCTCTTGATAATGGCACAGATTTCCTGTCTTGTCTTTAAACTGATAACCTGCTGCAATGATAGTGAGCTGAGACTGGCTATTGACTTTGGCTGAAAAAGAAATATCAGTCTTGTTAAAGTGAATGCTACAAACATACTGACACTAAATGAAGGGGAGAAGGAAGTGGAGGAAGGGTTTCCTTTATACTTACCAAACCTCCCCACACACAACAAACAAACAAACACATAAAATCAACCACCCCCCAATAATTAAAAATGATCTTTCGAGATCTAAGGTTAAGAAGGACAAGTACATTAATTTCTCATTGAAAATTTACCCCTGAACCTCTCTGAATCCACAGCATGAATACTGAAGCTGCACTTAAGTAAGGACAACTATGATACTATATTGCTTTTATTCTCTTGTTCTGGTTTCCAAAATTACTTCTTTGTGTAACTTAAGATATTTGGAAATTCTGCTTCTTTGATTGCAACAGTTTGAAATTAATCTTTTCAAGAGAAAAATAAAGAAAATAATCACCCAAATTTCAGTTGGTGATTGCTGTTCAATGCAATTTTAGATTTGTGGTATGGTCTTTTGACATTCCCCCCACACACACACAGCCCCCCAAATAATCAAGCTAGCTCAGAGATCAGAGGCTGTGAGGGGAGGAATATCAGGAGAAGGCAAAGATTCCCAAAAGAGGCTCTTACCCCGAGATAAGTTGGTACAGCTCTCTTTATGCTGTGATGTCCATGTGGAGAGCAGGGCAAAAGAGAGCGAACAGGAAATGTCAGAGGTCTATATAGACTTTGGACAGGGTGGGCTTCCCTGGCTCTCCGCCAACCCTGTTGGGGCAGAAAAGAGGGTCCAGGGTTATCTTGATCAGAGTCACAGGGTCCCAGGGAGGGGGAAACAGAGTGCCCATGAGCTCACTGTAACAGTCTTTAAGAACATAGCATTACTGTCTGAGGAAAGAATAGATAAGCATGTAGGTCAGGCTCTTCCAAGTGATTCAGATATTCTGCAGGATGGGTTTTTTTGTTGTTGGTTTTTTGTGTATTTTTAATTCTTGATCTTTTGTGTGTTGATCTTAAATTAGTTGAACTTTTTTGATAAGAAAATCAGAGCTGCTACTATTTGAAAATAAGCTTACTTAAGTTTCAAGTTTTTGATATAAATCCTTATAGGCATTCTGTTCAACGTTTTTCTCCTCTATCATCTTTATTTTATTTTGCCTTACTGGACTGCTTATCTCTCTGTCTTTCCACCTGCTTCTTGTTTCTTCCTTGCTGATTATTCATTGTTTAACCTTGTTGGCCTTGTGTTGTTCAAAATCTTTGATGGTCTTTCATGATTTCTTGTTTAATACAGGATCATACTAACCTCAAACACTTCTTTCTATATTGATACGGTTAAGTTTCCTTTCATATTAAACTTCAGTATTACTTCAGAGTAATTTTGTATTCTGATGAAGAAATGGAACCAAAAGTATCATACAATACCTGAGATATTAAAATAATTAGAAAGTTGATCTTTTTATCCATTGTTAATGAATTATGTACTTAAAAATATAATTTCCTTTCTGAGTTTTACATGCCTTGCTGTGGGAAAAGATGAGGCTCAACTGAAAGTCTACCAGTGGGACACTTAATCAAAAGTAAGTAGTATCTGATAATTTAAAGTCTTATCACTGCTTTAAACTCTGAAGTGTGGTACTCCTGTTTCATATCACCATTAAAAATATAAAATGTCTCTTTAAATGTGACAGGGTGATTATTGAATGTTCTGCTGGAAAAGAGTTGATGGCTGAATAACATATCACCATAAAGAGACATCTTAGAAGTTCACATGAAAAAATATTACTGCGCCTGGCTGGAATGGAATTTACTTTCTTCACATTAGCCTGTATGCTGATGTGCTTTGTAACTAAAGCAGTGTTGGTAATGAATTCAGTGTTTGTAATGTTTTCATTACTTCTGAAGAGTGCTTGCAAATCATTAAGGCATTTTCTCTTTTCACCCTGCACTGCCCCCTTGGGTGGGATTTTGTCTGAGGGGAATTAATTTTTTTCATAGAAAGTGATATGTGCTGTGTTTGGATTTGTAACAAAACCCATGCTGATAATACTTTGGGGTGTTACTTAAGGCTGAGCAATGCATATAAAACATCGAAGGTTTTTCTGTTTCTCTCACTGCCCCACAAGTGAGTAGACTGGGGGTGAGCATGAGCTAGGGATGAGGACATGGTTGTGACAGTTGATCCCAAGTGAGGGAAGGGAAATTCCATACCACATGACATCTTGGTTAGAAATAAAATCTGTAGAAAGGAGTAAGTGGAGGGGGATGTTTGAAGTAATGGGGTTTGTCTTCCCAAGTAACCATTATGCATGATGAAGCTTGAGTTTCTTAAACAGGCTGATCATCTGTTTCTGCCCATGGGAAGTGGTGAATGAATTCCTCATTTTGCTTTGTTTGTGTGCACAGGTTTTACCTATCGAACTACCTTTATTTAACACATAAGTTTTCTTCATTTTACCCTTCTGATTTACTCCTCCAGCTACTTGAGGGGGGTCTGTGGGCAGCTGTGGGGGTTGAGCTGCATTCTGATGTTAAGCAACACCACCACCACCCTTCCCCACAGAAAAAAGGCTGAAGGTGGGTGAGAGTCAGGGAGGGAGCACAATCAGGACAACAGACGCAAACTAACCATAGGAATATTTTATACTACACAGTATTAAATCTTAGGGAAAGGAGGACCAAGAGGGGAGTTTTATGGTTAAAGAATGTATTTCCCAAGCAACAATGTCCAGTGCAGAGAGCCTCCTTTCCAGGAAGGGCTAAACATCTGCCTGCTGATAACTGGTGAATCCTCTTTCTGCTTTGCTTCTATGAGCGACTCCTTCTTTCCTTGTTAAACTGTCAAGGTCTTGATCCACAGGTCTTTTTGCCTTCCTTCTATTTTCCCCCTGCCCTGTGGCTGGAGAAATAAACAGGTATATGGATTTTGGCTGTTGGCCAGGTAAGACCACCACAAATATAGAAGATAGAGTGAATAAACTTTCTCTTCTGGAAATTCTTTACTTCCAACTCTCACAGAGTAAAACACAGTTAAACTGTGCACCGTATTCTTGAAAAGTATTGTTTGTTGCACATTTAAAGCTATGGGTACATGACGGAGCTCAACCTGGTTCGAGGGTTCCATGTGGTGGAAAAGTCTCCTCCAACCCGTGCTTCCAAAGAAAGGCTCATCAGTCTCTGTTGTCTGGTCTCAAGGCAGTTTATTGCAAGCTATCTAAAAGATTGTCTTCTCTGGCTATTGTGGTTTGGTCAGCAGCTCAGGCAGAGGCACACACACACCCTGGCATCCTCTCTGACTCCCAACTTCTTCTTCTCTTCCCCCCGCCCAGGGCTGCTGCTATCTTTTATATGGTACATTACGTGATAAATGTTTACAGTTTTTCCCCAATACCTACTACCTATATTAAATGGTGCTTTTCTACTCAAACCCAATCTGTGAGGGCCAACATCACCAAAAACATAGAGGTAAGGAAGAAGAAAGAGAGATGACAGGACAGGCCAAAATCCCTCTATCTTAAAACCTCTGACCCCCCTGTACAAAACAGAAACACCCCCCCCCCCCCATACAGGTATTAAAATCCCCCTGTACAGCACTAAAAAATTCTTCCCTCTACTTTGTGACTACTTCTACTATAATATCTAAACTTTTGTGACTTTTTGTTCTTCCTGCAAAGTTGGTAAATCATTCCATGGTTCAAACCCAAAATCACAGCTTTCCAGCTGCCAGCCAGGGTCTCAAATGCTTCTGACCTGGGCCAGGAACCTCCAAAAATGTCTGAGGGACATTTTGAGTTCCAACAGATACATTATATCCTTTTGTTGTTTTTTCCACTTGTAAATAGTGGCTGCTTCATTAAACCCCTTTTTCTTCAGAAAATTTACAGCAGATCAGCATACACAGAGAATATTGTTAAACAATCCAGAAATACTTTATTTATTCACAAACAAATGGGAGGAAATTCTTACTGTTAAAGGGAGAACATTGATTTCTAGAATTTTTTTCTCCTTAAAACAAAATATATGCATAGGAATGTGGGATAGAATATTTCATGTTTAAAGTCTTCATACAAAGTCTTCTACCCATAGTTACAACTATGACCTAAAAGAGTAAAAAAGGTATGGTTTAAATTCATCAGTTATCTTATAAAGGCTTAGAGAAATACTCTCAATTTAGTTTAAAATCCTTATTTTCACTTAGATAAGCCATAGGTATAAATATGACCACAGCCACGTTTCAGATGTCAGGCTGATGAAAAGTTGATATTTTATCTGAATTCACCGCTAATTTTCTTCTGACTGCCTACTCTTCCTGATGCCAAGGGTTAATTGGAGGTATTAACTTCTTTGTACTCACTTTTATTACATTTCTAAAGTGTAAATATACCTGGTTCCAGTGAAGTGTCTTATATCAGAAGAAAACAAATAGTTATATATTTTTTGGGGGGAAATGTAATACTGTCAAAACAGAAAATATTTTACCTTACCGTTAATTTCTACATAATGAATCTATACTATTTTCTCTTTTTTTTTTTTCTTTTTTCTTTCATTCTTATTTTTTCTGTTTCCTAATGTCTATATTATAACTATTGAAGAAATATCCACTTGGTTTTTATTATAATTTTTTGACTGAGTGAGCTATTGAAATTCTTAGATATTGTTGTGCACTTAAAAATTTCAAAAATTATTCATGTCTATGAAGAGAACCTGGTGTGAGAAATTGGATTAGCACTTGTAACCTGTCTGATGATATCTCAAAGGGATTGTAACAAAAGCCCATATTCCTCCATATGGTGGGCCTCCCTTATTCTCTGTATGTATATTTCCTACATCTCTCGCACTGTCTTTTACTTTATAACTGTGGAGAAGGTTTAATATTCCTCTATTTTTTAGAGAGGTTCATAATTAGGATAGCTATCCCTTTATACATTTACTCCACCACAAAAATTGCCACTCTTTTCATATGGTCTGCCACTCAAGTGCAAAGAGCTACACAGTCATGAGAGAGACCACATTATGTGAAAATGGATTCTTTTTTTGCTCAACAGTTTATTGATCTTCAAGGACAACCAATTTGTGTCAGCTGTCATCTCTTCCCATTAAAATTATTAGTTTTCACCCTACCTTGGTAACCTCTTTTTGGATTGTCAAAATTTTTCTGCCTCCACTTGTGACCGTCTCAAATCTAATTTAGGTGTGGAGAAAGACTGGATTCCCATAATCTGCTCTGCTTTAACATACAAAGAGTATAGAAGATGCTTAGTTTCCATTACAAAAAGGAATTATCTCCTGTGGAGAACAGAGAGGTTCGACTGAAAGCTGTCCCTGAGAGGATAAATTCAATAGGAGGCTGTTGATACAGTGATTCACTGCTTTATGCAAGTTACATTGTTATAAAGACTAGAAGGTGGCAAATGGGGTTGCTTACTGCCTAATTCATCAGAAGAGTTCCTTCTCCTATCAAATTAGTCAATGTTAATCCTAATGGCACACTCATTACAGGGAGAATTACCCCATGCAACACTTGACACCTTTGTTTTTTTGTCAAATCAGTTTAATATTAGCTAAGCAGAAATAGAGAGTATAGCAAAATAATCACAAAAGTATTTAAAAGGGCTGCCAGCATCTCCATTCAACATGAAATCAGACATCTCATGATATACATTTCAAAACAAGCTTTAAGAGTCAGAGTTCTGGTTACAATGAAATCTTGCCATGTATAACTGCTTTAAGCAGTAGGCATTTTTTTACTATTGTTCACAAAGCAAACCCCAGACTCTGTGCAAAGTAATTAGCTCTGGAAAGAAACCCTACATCAAGAGAGTTAATATTGTTTTTCCTTGAGGGTTTGTACAATGGTAATGAGACAAGTCATTCATTTGTCTGAAAAAAAAAAAAAAAAAAAAGACTCATTTAATCATAATGTCTGGACTGCAGTAGTCAAAAGAACTAGGACTAGAAACTTACTTTGCTAAGTACTCTTTAACATAGAAAAAAATCTATTTTACCCCTCATCAGGATTTTTTAGGGTTCAGAGAACCTAAAATAAAACCTTAGTCTTCATTTTTGTCAAGAACAAACCTCATCCTGCTTTGTCTTCCATTTTGCAAATTAATATAATGTGTTTGTATTGTTTTCAGAGGCAAAATGCACTGCATCAAGCTTCAATTATATGATAGTCATTCATCCCTCAGATTGAATTCAGATAGAAATGGTTGCTTGTATCAAAACTTGTAGGCAAATTTAAAAAAAATTATTTAATAAGATCATGGAACTTTGCAAATTTAATTTGCCTTTCCAGAGAAAATAAAAACACTCACATTACTACATATTTTTTATTATTTAGATTTGGATGGGACTATATTGTCCTTATTTGGACTCTTCCCTGGAGCCTAATATATCATGGGAATAAATCTTTAATCATATGATTTAAGGTCAGATTAGGAGTCAGGACAGCTACTCAGTGGACAAGCATTCATTCTTAGATTAACTTCCTTCCTTTGCTACCCACAGTGAACGCAGATCCCATCTTGTCTTTTAGAATTCTTCTCTAGTAAGGAGTTAACTTCTGTTGCCTTTTTTC